AATATCAATAACAATATAATAATCATATATTTTGGATGTGAAACACAATGAAATTTCTACAGTTGAATCCTGACATTTGTTGATATTACACGTAATGACGACTGTATTATCTCACTTCCAGTTTCCGGTGTATAGTCTCAAACAATCAGGGATTTGGTACTACCGAAGTACGGTTACTTTCTAGACGTGAGTATTATACTTTTGTCAAATTACAGATCGCTTATTTGTCTGCTTTATTCGCATATAATCAAAGAAAGTAATGAAATGGATCCAACGGATTCGTCTATTATCCTCTCTATTACCCTGGCTCTCCCAAGACGTAAATCCTAATATCCACCAACCTGGTGAAATTATTTTCGGGGTTTATTAAGAAAGTTTATTGCAAATTCATGCCCAAGGGCTAATTGCGAGAACATGATAACAAAAATAGACAAATAAACACTAAAATGATAACAAGTAATGCAAATGCTACTTTAGATATACATTTGTAGTTATTGTTGGGTTTGATTTCTTACAGTGGAGTATGAAATGGTCGACATTTTGCGAGATTGGGAGGTGTTAATAGAAATGCAGTTTTTTGTAGGTTGGGAGGGTGAATAAAGGTAGGAAACATTTTGGTGACCATTTCAAGTAACTTATCTCTTTCGGTGCTGTAATCTGCCGTTATAAAAAGCACCAAACATCGTGATCCCGATCAGCCAGAAGAACGGCATGGTAGGGTCCACCATCACCATGACACTCAAGTGGCAGGGGCTGCCCATCCCTACCATGGAGTGGATCAGACAGGGTGACGTGATCGCCACCAGGACACCAGACGGAGTGGTCAAGAAAACATCTTCGAAGTAAGTTTACTTAAACTGCATCAGCATTTATTCATGTGGCGAACTGGCTGACTGAAGCGCACGGTTTCTCTTAACGCACGTCATTCTTAGACAATTTCTGAGACATCTTTTTATGCAGATTTATCACATTTGTGTAACGATTGGCATAACAGGTGACTACTATAGCATCACCTCTTAAAGATGTCAACCTCTCTCGCACATTCCTTCTACATAATCTACATTGTACTGAGAGAGAGTTAAAACCATCTTTATTTTAATAAAGATGGTTTTAACTCTCTCTTAAAAGTTTTGACATACATACAAGACGACCACTTAAAAACACCTAGGTCAATCCATTCATATGAGTTCAGGAACTCATGGGACGCAAGGTGTGTATGCGTGCGTCGGACTAATTGGACGCCGAAACTACAGTTTAAAAAAGGGATTAATTTGGTCTAATCAATATAATAAAAAGTATACATTAATATATTGCACTGATTGACTATTGCGCTTCTTCGGGTAGCAAGCTATTTGAATCATGAGAACAGACCCACAGGTTTTTCCCAACCAACAGTATTCCTTGCACAGTAAATGACTTGTTTTAAGTTCATTACGTCCTATCTAAGAGGAATCTGAGAAGTTTCTAATGTATATCTTCATTCATTGTTCAAAACAGGTATAACGTGACAGAAGAGGGCTACCTGATCATCAAAAACTTGGCACCAGAAGACGCAGGAAGTTACAGCTTCAGAATCCAAAACGTCCTAGGCAGTAGAGACACAGCTGGGAGACTATACGTTGCACGTAAGTTGAAGTCTTACAATAAAATTGTTAACAAGACTGGCAATGAAAACATTGTCATGGCGACGGTGGTTGCTGTTAGGTTTATTGTTTGCATGGCACTGAGAAGATTTCATGATTTTGAGGGAGACTTGGTACCTTTTAAGTCTAGACAGATACAGTGCACTCCTCCCCTGAGTGTATAGTGAACGAGCCCCGGGGTCACAGAAAGTAGGGCCATCCGGGGCAGAGAGGTCTTACCAAGGGTTTCCAGGAATGTGGGCATAGATGTGGGTCAGAGACATGCCTGTGGACATTCCATTCCTGTGGACAAAATGCCTGTACCATTCCGGGAATTCTTGCAAACTGCACACAATACTGTACCATTAGGCTCCTCCCTGAGACGTTGCCAAAAACTTCATAGCAAACATCTCTAATGCCAAGAGATGCCATTGAATCTACATGGAGGATAGTACAGAACATTTTATAGCAGTTCTATCGTCAAATGAAGCACCAACTACATCCTCAGTGGACTTATTTCTTTGTTTGATTGACTCATTTCAGTGGTGTTTGGTTTACTTTTACATTTACTTCTTTCTTTTGTTTCATTGTGTTGTTTCACGTAGTACTTTTTTCATTCTCTATTGTCATTTACTATTTGATTTGACAAAAGTTTAGTAATGTACTAACCTGATATTAAGTTAGATGGGGAGAATTTTTCTGTTGTAATATATGTTTTATTATATGCGCTATGGATTGCATTTACAGTTGCAAATCCATTTTGTGGTATACTACAACTAGGGTCGAACAAATAAAGCTAAATAAATGTAAAAACATGAATAAAGTCATCATACTTACAGAATATGTGTATGCTGTACAGAATATGCCAAAAAGCAGTTACTCAAGCAACTGGATATGATTTCGAAAACGTCAGACGTTTCAGCTAGTATCCACTAGCTTTCGTCAGTGACTGAGAGACCAGAGGAGAAATGCAGGTTTATAAGCACTAACTATTGATTGATATGCAAATAAAGTGAAGACAATTTTTTGGAAGTCGGAAAGGGAACAAAAGTATAGACAAGATAATACAAATTAGTCAGAAAGCTCCTGTTATACAGAATAGGAGCTTAAGTGTTGTCTGTCCTCGGGGCTGGGAGCGCCAAATTCCAAGTGTCGGAGAGATCGACCCGTAGCCCCCCTACGCTGTTGAGGGTGGGGTTGTACATTCTTTCATATACATTCACTAATAACATATCAATCAATAGTTAGTGCTTATAAACCTGCATTTCTTCTCTGGTCTCTCAGTCACTGACGAAAGCTGGTGGATACTAACTGAAACGTCTGACCGTTTCCAAAATCATATCTAGTTGCTTGAGTTGCTATTATAGTATTACCTGGATATCTAACCTTCATCGAAGAACGTCAGCGGAAAGATTAGAAAATCAAACAGTTGATTAATCATTACAAACTCAAACATCTGACTACACCATAACACCAACATGTTTACTGTTGCCCTGATTCAGAACAATCGCGCATTGTACAAGGCCGTGGACCCACAGATATCAACATGGAACAAGGAGGTACTGTAACCATTCCGTGTGAAGGACAGGTAGACTCCCTGCTGGAAAGTGTGAACGTCTGGTATGTGGACGGCAGAAAGATCGACTTTGAGAAGGAATCTTTCAACTACAAAAGAGTAGGTAGTATTTTTGTTTCTAAACTACTCGTTGCAAGGATGTTTATTACTTTCGCCAATAAGTTTTCAGGGGTGTTCGTGTGTTTGTGTGTTTGTGTGTGTGTGTCTGTGTGTGTGTGTGTGTGTGTGTGTGTGTGTGTGTGTGAACACGGCTTTGATGGATTATCTTGATATTTCAATGATTAGATTTTGGGCCCCCCTGCCAGCTTGCTATGGTAATGCAGCAGAACTTCCAGTTTTGATATCTCTTGATTTGTACATACTAGGGTCACGAAGTTTACATGGTAGATAGCTCCTGTGCTGGGAATGAAGTGACACGAGTTTGAGCCCCCTAGCTGCTTGCTCTGGAACTTCAGGGGCGTTTGTTGAAAAATGTTTAAAGGAGGATTACTCAAAAACCGATTGATAGATCGTCGTCATTTTGTGGTGTCTGGGTAGCTTAAGCGATGCCTGACTCTGCCGCTACGCCCCACGACCCCACTAACTAAACGACTACAATTTCATGTAGGCCAAGCTTGTAGCAGCCTACTAGTATTTCTCTTACCGTATTAGACCGGCCGGTTCAGTCGTATAAGCGTTGTTTCGTTCCAAAAGCAGGCGTCTCTCACACATTTCCGTCTAGCCTTTGGCACTTCTTATTCCAAGGCCATATCTACCTGTAACGTTACACCTGCCAACTGACTAAACATCCCATTAGCCTTTGTGCGAAAGCGTCTTTTGTGATGAGGCGCTACAGTTGACTGCCTCCTGACATTGAGACAAAAATAAGCAAAGATTTGAAGCACCATGGGGGCGGGGGTATTTTAGGGTAAAATCTCATTAGTTTCGAGGTGACTGTATGGCATAATGATAATAACAAGAAGAATAACCCTTATTGTACATTCATGCCCTATCGGGCTAAGTACAGGTGAACAGATGAAAGGGTAATATACATGTTTGTAGTACAAACAGCTCTAAAACTACACTAATACAAAGGTTCAACTTCTTCTCGTTTCTTAGTGATGTCAAAAATATAATTTGAAATGGGTTTGTTTAATACAGGATGATCAAAGCGCATAAGAAATATGAATTTTTCAATATTAGTCAAGTATTGGAAGTACGGAAACGTACTTATAATATATCTAAAAAGGTAATTTCTTTCATTACTATATAAACTACAATCAATAACAAAGTGGGCTTCATCGTCTACTTTGTTTGAGGTACAAAATATGGCAAATCCTTTGCTCCAGAGGTGTGCGGTTGTGCCTTCCTGTTTCAATGCTGAGTTACGTGTTAAATCAGTACTCAAAATTATCTTTCTCGATTTGGGGTTCTAGCTACCCCCCATGAGAGAGTGGAATAATCGCCAGCTCTCAACAACAATTAGCCAATGATAACACATACAAGCCAGTCAAAACAACTACACACTTAGGTCATGGGTCACGGCTGTTATACCATTAGTGGAATCTGTTGATGTTTTGATCCTATTTTGTACTCGTATGTTTGAAGTAATTTTTGTCAATTCGTACGGTTGAATGAAACTTTGTTTCACTTTGTATGATCGGAATGAATACGGTCCCATCTTGAGATGGTGGGATCTCACAAGTATTTATTCAACACAACAGGCATTCAGTACTAATGAAAACGGGTAGTAACTTCCATCGGTGTGTATAGACAACTTTTGAATCATATTGATATAGATAATGATGTGAATTTGTTCAACAATTGTATATAATATGTCCATGTACTACAACACTTCAGAAAACTAATCTACTCAACGAAAGACTAGACTGATACAGAAAAAAACTGTACACATGTACAGACAGTCTTTGGTTTTATTCATAATATCCAGGCACGTTCTTATGTTTTGTTATTCTACCAAATCCTAAATTATCATTTATCCATTATTATTATCCAATGCCTAGTGGTGGCAACTCCCGTAGACCTTCTGCTGCTTTTGTTTATTTGTTTATTTACAACATCAAAATTTACATAGTCAATAACAACAAGTACAAGAATACACAGAATAGGTAATCGAAATGGAAGCTTAAGCATAATTCAAATTCCGTCAGAATTTGGGTATTTTGCTCCATTAGCGTCAATATACATTGGGGTAGTGTGGTTGCAACTCAGTATGTAGATAAATGACTAGAATATTGACTTTAAAAATCGAGTTTCTAAGCCATAAAAACTGCATTGGATGCCTTTAAAGTATGTATAAAGAAGAAACTAAAAGAAAAAAGAATACGTCTTGTTCATTCTCGTATGTTCTGTTGTCCCTTCAATGACATTACAGTCCACTCTGTGATTTATAATCCCCTCTTTGTCTAATTCTACAAGTAGCTTATACTCAGTCACAAATTGGTGAGCTGTATTATTGGAGGGAACTGATGTGAAGTCTCTCCAGTAGTGGTAGGGAATCGTGCGGTTCTGGTGGTCCCTGTTGAACGGGTAGAAACCGAACATTGTGACGTGATCGCAGAACGTTATCGCCTCCCCCAGAAGGAGCAGTCCGGTGGTTGGAAGGGGCTTGAGTTCCCCGCCAAGACCAGACCATAGTCTGCTGGTTAAACTACCGACCAAACTTGACCACAACCTACGGGTTACAGAAAGGCGTAAGTGTTAGCAGTGACTACTGCCCTCTGAAGGACTATATCATTCATTTATTTTTTTTATTGCACTCACTCACAAACATTAAATGGTATATATAACAATTGAAGTTAAGTAGACACGCATGGGAGGGCCGGAAACATGCTGGTTTATCTTTGGCCCTTCCCAATACTTTAAGATTAAAAGTTACCATTCATACTGAATGAAACAAAATTTAAAGGAAGGAGACAAAAATAACAGTAAATAAACAATTCGAAGAACTAATAAAACAATACAAATCATCTACCTGAACAAATAAAGAAAGATCAAACTAATTAATCTAGTTATTACGAACATCAGTACAAATGTGAATTATATGAGCAAGTTTTTAAATCAACAAAACAAATCAACAAAACAAGGAAAGCAAACAAACTTAGGAAATGGTGGTTGGTTGAAGTAGTAGTTCTCTTTCTAAGAGCTTTTTGAAACTCGGTAAGCAGGGACATGTTCGTATTGCAGCCATTGAAGAAATAAAGTAACGCTAGTCTAACTCCAGATTGGTTGGCAAGCAGCATGTTTCAACTTCAAACTTTCTATCAAAGAAGAGGAAACAGAGATGAGGGGTCATTTTGATGTGAGATTTAGACCACGTGTACAAGGACATGCGATGTCTCCGGCGTATCATTGGACTCAGCTGGAAGGACAGAGTGCCCAACAGTGTGATCTTGCAAAAAGCAAAGATACAGAGCATG